CTCTTATAACTGTAAGAAGAGACCTGTTAAAGACCTTCTGCTATATAAATACTGTTAAAAGAACTGGAATAACAATATCCATAGATATTGGCACAGGTCTTAGAAATCTTTGCTAATATTTATAATTCATTCTTTTATTTAAGTTTAATCATCCCTCTCCCAACATTATATACTTATAATAATTCTCAGTGAAACTCACTATTCAAAATTGCTATAACATTATGATAAATAATTCAAGAGCGAGTGATAGAAAGAAACAGAATTAATTATATCTTTTGATAATCAATTACTATTAATTATTCTTTATTCTGATGCAATAACTTGTGATCAATTAGAAAAAATAACAGAACATTCTATATATTTTTCATTTAATAATATTCCTAATTGATGATAAGCTAAGTTTTATGTAAAGATACTTATTGAATATTTGTCAAAACTAAAAAGACTAAAGATATATATATACACAAAATATTAAGTTATTCTAATAATTACAAAAATAAGTTTTTCAATAATATTTTTGTATATTATTAACATATATTTTAGATTAACAAGATATATATTTTATAATAAAGAATCAAATATATATCTTTACATTTAAATATTAATTATTCTCATAGATATAACAGAAGCTAAATTATTTACTGGAACATATTTTTCATTAATATCTAAATAATCTTGTTATATTTGTTGTGTGACTAATAAAAATCTTAGTAATATGATATTATTTAATATAATTCTTTAAACACCAGAAAAAATGCAAGTAATAATTAATGCAAAATGATCAAAAGAATATTTAATTTATAAAAAAAAATTTCTTATGAAATTTTGGATTAGTGCAAAATCTTTTTAATAATTAATTAATATTAATATTAATTATAATTAATTAATTACTTAATTAATTAATTATAATAATAATTTTAATATTTATGAAGTAACAATTTCTAATAGAATATATTTGCTCAATTTGAATATTTTAAAATATATTTTAGAATTTATCTGAATATATATTTAACAAAAAGTAAGAATGATAACTATTAAGAAGATAAATTTATAATTATACATAATTTTCTGATATCAAGAACTTGTAATTAAGAAAAATAATCTAGAAAATATATCACAGTTTATAACTAATAATTATTACAATATAATAAAGATGGTAATTTTTATAATAGATAATTTATTCATTAAATATAAAAATAATGGAGTTTTATATAAGAAATTATATAAAATATTTTGTAAGTATATGAAAATATATATAAAAACTCATCAAGAATCATTTACTAATAATGATTTAATTAAATTAGAGATAAATTTTTATTATATTGCTTCAGCTATAATAATAAGATATAATAATAATTATATAAATTATTATTATTTAAATAGATATTGATTATTAATTTTTGTCAAGAATTGTGAGTGTATTTGCAGATTATTCTCCTAGCTAATATAAAATATCTAAGAATTATGTACTCTGATATCATATTATTTTTGTAATTCAATATTATAAAGTGATAAATAGAATATTTACTAAGATTTTTGAGATTCTCCATAAGAAAAATATTAAAAATCCATATCAAATATCTAACAAAAAGAATTATATAATACAAATGATAAAAATAGTAAATTTTAATATTTATTAATATTTATTGATATATACTAATAGCTATTATTATTAATATTTTATTATAGATATAATACAAAATTTTAATTACACAAAAAATACTAATATAATTTATTAAAAGATTCTGGTTTTTAAAATCTTTTATGAAAATTATAGATAACTAAAATAGAAAAAATAGTTTTGAAAAATATTTATATTTATCAATTATATTAAAAAGACTTTAATAATCTTCAAATAGAACTTAAAGAGTTCTTAAACTTAAATAATAAGTTATATGATTAAGAATTTATATATTTTAAAATATATTCAAATACTTATATAAAATTAATTAATGTTATTCAAGTAACTAATTTATTTCATAATTCAAAATGATTCAGTAATATAGTAATTTTTGTTAATAAAAAGAAGAAATTTTTTAGTATGAAAAGATATAGTATAATATTATAATACTATTTATTTATAATATCAATATTACAAAAGTTTCTATTATTAATGAATAATAATCTTAATTTAGGTACTATTATTATTTGAATTTTTTTATATAAAAAATTAAGTGCTATTAAAATTCACTTTATTACAATAATATAATATATTAAAGATAAAAATACAGAACTCTATAAATGCTCAAGATTATGATTAACTAAATAATATATATATATATATATAGATTTAGTTGATATAATAGTACACATTATACTAAAATATAGAAAAAATAATAAATATTTATTAAATAAATATATTTTTTAATATTAAATAACAAGTATTTTAAGTCTTGAAAATACAGTCAAATCTCTTTATAATCATCACTCTTGGGAAAGCAAAATTTGGTAACTATAAAAGAAATGTGATTATAAAGAGATTTTTTTACTATATTTATATATAAATGGAAAAGCAAAATAGGATAACTATAGAGAAGTGTGACTATAAATAGGTGTGATTATAGAGAGATTTAATTATAATTAAATGTGTAAATATATGCATATTTATTAGGTTATATAATTAAAAATTAATATTGATATGATAAACTAGTTTTAAAATAAGTATTTGAGTTAACTATTAATATATATCATTTGTAATTGATAAATAATATATTGCAATAATGATTAATATATTATTATATATTGATAAATAATATATTAACAATACTTAATAATTATTAATATGGATATTTATCAAAGATTATTAGAGTCATTAATTAATATCAATATTTTAGAGAGATATTTATCAATTTTTACAGATATGATAATGATTCTCAATGAATATTTCCTGATGTAAGAAAGATAATTTTGAAGGTAATAATTTTTTCTTATTCAAATAGAATATTAAAATTAAAATAATAATAAATACTTTTTGATATTGATTAAAAAGAGATGAATATGATATATAACTTTTTTTTTATGAATAACAAGCTGATTGATCTCAAAATTTATTACAAAAAACAATTATAGATATTACAAAATGGAAAAAGGAACTGAAAATCCAATTTATATTGAATATTGACAAAACCAAATTGTTACTAATTTTTATGCTGCAACTGCTTTAAAAATTTCAATAAAAAAAGATAAGGATAAGAATGAAAATAAAGATGAAAATGAAAAAGAGAAATTAGAAAAGAAAGAAATTGATGAATTTATACAATTAAGAATTAATTAACAAAAATAGATTTAATTTATATTATTTATATTTTTGTAAAAATTTTTATTTAAATTTAATACTTATTAAATATCAATTTTAATTTATAATAAAGTTTTTAATTTAATATATAATAATATTTTTTTATTTTTATATTTGATAGAATTTTAAATTTTAATATAATTTTAAATTTTGATATGATCTTGAATTTTGACATGACTTTGAATTTTGATATGATTTTAAATTTTGACATGGCTTTGAATTTTGGCATTTTGGCAATTAAATTTTATTTGTTGAAATAGTATTTAATAATTTTGGCTTGACAGATTGCTAAAACTCCTGAATTTTGGCAAGCATCCTTAGTTACAAGTAAAACTTCTTTAATTTTCCTATAAAAAAGTATATTTGTAACAATAATTTGTTTTAAAAAAATAAAAATGATCTAAAAATGGTTAATATCAGCTTTTGTATTACATGTAATGCTTATAGTCGACTCTTGATATAACGATCATGCAGATTTTATTGAATTTATATTGTTTACAATAGGATCTGCATGGTCGTTATATCGAGAGTCGAATGTACAAATCGATCGTCCAACACTTGAAAATTATAGTTTAGCCATAAATGTTAAAAACCTATCGAACGTACTTCAAATTTGATACATTACACGTTCACTCAGTTTTAAAATTATGCTAAAACAAAATTCTGAAATCAATAACGAAATCAAGTGTTTAGAATTTTTTTCAGGAATAGGAGGGATGGTAAATCACCCTGATTTATAATGTTATTTTATTTCTGTTATTCGTTCTAAAAATTTTTATTTTAGCATTACGCATTTAATACTAGTGGGGTAAAAGGAAAGATTGTGGCAAGTTTCGATTTGAATATTGTGGCTAATTCTGTGTATCGGTTCAATTTTGGAACGAATCCTGTGACAGTAAGAAAATGTACATAATTTTTTGACCAAATAATTAATGCTTACGAAATTAATTTCCCTTCTAAAAGACATCAATTGAAGTGCTGAAAACTGTTGATGTCGAAAAATACGGTGCGAATTGTTGGCTGATGAGTCCTCCATGTCAACCTTATACTCGAGGAGGGAACAATTTAGATGATAAAGATACAAGAGCAAAACCTTTGCTTCGCTTGATTGAATTATTGCTGCAGTTGCGTGAACCTCCTTGTTATATTTTCTTAGAGAATGTAGTGAATTTTGAGGTGATTTGCTTTATCCTAGAGAGAGTTGGGTGATTTTCATTAGCTCGAATAATTTACATCATGGTTTGCTCTAATTTAGAAATCAAAATCTCGAGAAAAGCTTGTGTGCCAGCTCATTCGAATGAATTATGAGATTCACGAATGTATTTTGAGTCCTTTACAATTCGGTATACCAAATGATCGAAAACGCTACTATTTAATGGCACGTAAAAAAGACAGCGAAACACGCAATTGTGACGAGGAAGTACTCGATTATTTGTCAAATGCCGAGATATACGCGAGTTGGCCGTTTCCATATATGCTAAAAGGAAACGAAAGTATCAATACGGATATTCCCCCATTATCAGATTTCTTGGAGAACACGAATACTGATTCTGGATTGGATGATGAAAAATTCATGGAACTTCATAAAGTTCACGAAAAATATATTTTAAAGAGATTCAATTTTAAGTATGGTGAGTTTGAAGTGGAAAATCTCGTTTATTAAAAAAATACTGCTAAATCAAATATAGATATAGTGCAAGCTTCTCACTGTAAAAGTTCTTGTTTTACTAAAGTAAGTTTGGTTTTGTCAAAATATCTAATTATATATTCTCACTTTACTGACGTTGCTATTCTATAAATAAGGCTTATGGTAGTCATCATGTAATTGGATCGGGTTCCTTTCTTCAGACGAAAAAAATCGAGGTATTCAGTAAATAAATTACATATTAACTAACTGTGAAATATTTTAGTTGTAAATAAGCAAATGCACAATTACACAATAATACTAGGTAACAGAATACGATTTCGCAAATCCAATATCTTTGCTCGAGTTAGGTTTACGTTTCTTTACGCCGCTTGAGGTTGCGCGGCTTCATGCATTTCCAATTAAACCAGTTGAAACACAGCACGAAACTTCAGAGAATTCATCAATGCAAAACATTTTCTTTGCGAAGGATCCTGAAAACGCAACAATAATGTCAAACATTCCAAGAGCATTTAATCCAAAATTATTAGTCTCTTCGATAAATCCGATATATTTAGAATTCCCCGATGATATTAGAATAATTCAACGTCATCGACTGCTTGGGAATAGTTTAAATGTGTGGGTAGTTGCAGAATTATTTCGATGTGTGCTATTTCACAAAAACAACTGACAAAACACATATCCCTTAAAAACGTTAAATAAATTAGTCCAAATACATAGCATGAGTGAAAAGGAATTGTAGTTATATGTGGTGATGCGATGTAAACCCGTAAAACTTTGTTTATGACAAGGATATAAAATTTTTTCTTGCAAGTATGCAGAGAAATTTTATACTAAAGAATGACGAATATATTCTAACAAACATCCAACTAACTACCAACGCTACATTAAGCCCTTTATTAATGCCACAATTTAAATCGGATAGCGTGATTGAAAGTAAGCAAATTATTGAAGATATCATTTAATCATGGGCTCAAGATGTCAAAAAACTTGTAATATCATTTATTAATGATATAATATATATATACATGTACTTGTTTATTTACAATATTGGGTCAAAAGGATCAATGTTTCCAAACATCCAGAAAATCGTGTTAAATCACAATGACACGGACATATTTCATTCTGTACGAGATAAATTTGTACTGTATTCTTGAATCTGATTGGCTAATAACCCTAACATCTAATCCTAGATCAAATTCAACCGCTTATCAGACAGTATGCCCCCCCCCCCCCCCAAAAAAACAATTAAGCAAATGATGGTATATACGTATATATATAGAACATCACATAGATATAGTGTATATTATTTATTGCTTTAGAAGAATAAAGTCACTTCTCTTGCGGACTTGGAAAATGGATTTTATGCATAATCTTGCATAAATAAATTGTATCTGTAAATTCAATAAATATGACAGATTATTATAAATTTTTGAATTTGTGGCTTATTAAAAAAGGTCCAATTGATAACCAAAATAAACTTTTATTCGTTCGAAAATATAGTTGTGACCTAGCCGAGACTGCTTGCATTGAACACAAATACTGTTCTCCAAAACTGGAAAAAATTATATGAATTTGATCGCTCAAGATTTTAACTTTATTACTTAACTGTTACGTATCAAGTTTCGGATTCACGAAATGGAACTAGAATCCAACGTATTATCATCACACAGAACATAGCAAACAATATCTATAATATGATAACCTCAAATTTAAAATAAGTGATTTTTAATTAATTATTTATGCTTAAAAGTTTATATCGATATAAATACATTATGATTCACTTCTTCTACTCTAGTAAACTTGCCTAGATTTTTTCAAGCAAATGATTTTATTTCTGTTTGGGAGAAGCATTTTATATATGAGCATCCCTAAATTACGAAAAATTTCGAGGAATAGCTATAATATATTCTAGATCCCTAGCCGAATATCCATTTTATTATTCAAAATTCGGTCAAGTACCACTACCGAAATTAATTCGAATTCATTCTTAATCAAGAGACCATCATATTTTTTTTGGAATCTTAGAATTCCTATCCCTTTGTTTGAAAACGATCCATCTATCTCACATTACGTATCATACAATTTGTTGTCAAGAACGAACGAACGAACGCATATATCTGATTGGAATGTTGTTTACGTAGTCAATAATATGTAAATTTATTTTTAATTATGTATAACGTTTTGCAAATATATTTAATTAATTTCACGTATGTACGTACATGTATGTAAATTTTAATCGAGCACAAACGTGCATTGATCTGTAGGTTCTATGTAATTCGGTTTTGAAGAGCTTTCGCTCGACACGTGCTGTAACATGACTTTTCTATGGTAGAGTAGAATGGGACGGTAAATTCTATCATTGCAATAATTATTATGTGCAAAAATATTCGATCCCTGATGTATACAATATTTCTTTGTTCCAACTCTTTCCTTGTCCTTATAATAATAATGTTGCAAAGATCGTTCTATTTAGAGATAAAAGAGACCCTGGATCTTCAAACATAGCAAATAATAAACAAATAACCATAACGATAACAACGATGATGATGATAAAATTAAACCCACGTGGTATAAATAGATAAAAGTCAAGGTATAATCAAATTAATTAATTAATTAATTACATCAGGAAATGCTTAAATGACGTAACAACCGCATTGGAGAAAACGAATTTTCCCTCCAAAAAAGTTAATCATTGACAAATTTAAATTAACTTTCCCATGTCGTGCATTCATTGTACCAATATTTTTTTGTTCCATTAAATTTATCGTTATTGAATGGTGTGGAGAGGTTAATGAAAGTTTCAGGATTGAGTTTTCGAAGTTTAGATGGAATTCATTAGTAACCTTGCATTTTCATCAAGCTATACTAATAACGATCGTAATCGAAGTAGATTAGGAATAGTCTCTTACTTATAAGTAAATTGACAAAAATAGCCAGAAAATACTGGAGATGCCATTCTACAGTTAGTTAATTTCATATATAATATAAGCACACACTTTTAACCTTTGCATACATGCCGTACATGCTCGAAGATTACATATTTTTAATCAAATACATGTTATAATAACACTACATCAAATACCATCATCGAAAAAGAACAATTTTCATTATACGCTATTTGTACTTTTGCTCGTTGCTAATGTAATGGATTAACACGAAACTACGCCCGCATTAAATAATTATTCTTTCGAAATAATTTTTTTTCATACTCTCCTTTCTCTCTCTTTCTTTCCTTCCTTCCTTTTTTCTCATAGTATTCTTTTCAACATCCTTCCTCAAAAAAAAGAACCTTTATTTTTGAAGTACGTAGTGGACCAACAACTATTAAATCACTCAAAAAACCAGTCATTCCTATTTTTTTCGACAAAAAAACAATTCAATTTATTCAAAATTCGCTTCGACCGACAACTCCACGTTCTAACGAAAGGTTGCACTACATATAAATAATCAACAATAATAGCAATAACCAAGATAACAATAATAAATAAAAAAACACTACAAAAACTCGCATTTACACAACACCTAATTTTATATCACAACGTAGATTTATTGCATTTTTTCGCTTCAAATTGTTCGAGTCTATCCAATTAACTTTCATTTCTTTTCTCCTTTCTCTCTTTTTCACTCTTCTCTTTACGCTACGCCTCTCCTTTTTCATTCTCCACATTTCTCTTTTAAACCTCTTACAGGCTGGGCACACACATATATCTATATTTATATATACATATCTATACATATCTATATATAAAAACGACGAAAACTTATGTTTGTTACATATTAATAATATTCTTCGCTATCAAACTGGACAACACGATTCTATACAACAGCTACAATAACTAAACAACATAGAACACACTGTCTTCGATAGAGAAGAAATCATACGGAAAAAAGAAAGAAAGAGAGATTGCCGAGCAAAGTAACGAGAGAAAGAAAAGTACATAATATATATACATAATAATTACATAATTTTTAAGATATATGTGCACATAAAGCTATGGACTTGTAAGTTTTTCTTTTCTCTTTTTGCACTGTTTGAATCCTCGAAAATTAACTTAATCTATCTTCGTAGTGTGTGTCTAATACAAGTAAGACTAGAAGGTCGCGATAGACCGGTTCACGTCGAATACACACAGGGCACTTCAGTACAAGCAGTTCTGGAACGGGTATGATTGGTTAATCTATGTAAATCTGTTGAACTTTTTCATCTCCGACTAAAAATCTAAATCGATTTTAGGCTTGTAGAACTTTAGGAATATATGATTCGTGGAACTATGCTCTCTACAGTTTACTGTTCAAGAGTTGGTTATGCGATTCACATCTATTATCATCGTATCCAGCTGAGGTTAAAATCAAAATACATACGTTATGCTAAGAATGTTAATTGTCATTGTGAATTTTGATTATTTAATATTTTTATGATCTAGGATACGTTAATAGTTCGAAAAAAGACACCACAGTATTTGGAATTAACGTATAATGAGGAAAATCCAAAAAAGGTTTGACTATTCATAATTTATAATTTACTAGTAAGAATAATCATTATTAATTAAATTGTGATCAATCCGAAATCAGCGCTCAATGTCAACAACATCACTAAGTCCCAACATCCAACCCGCAAAACGACGCGGAATATTCAGTCAAAAAACATGCTTGAAAACACGATTTCAACAAGAAACAATCTATCTCTCTGCGATTCTATTCACAAGCGACAGCAAAATACTGATAACATCCGGATCGAGAATGTTTCCCACAGTAGAAGTGATCCGTGATCAACAAAGATTTGGAAACTTTGAGACAGACTGTGAGGAGTTCTCTCTTGTACTTCGTACGTCGTTGGATTGGGCGACATCCACGGATTTTGATAAAGATGAAAATATTAGCGATACGGATTCTATACATTCTGCGCATTCGAATACCAGTGTCAGTGATGGTGGTATCCATAGCAATAATAATAATAATAATAGTAATAGTAATGAGGAATATGTTGCCAGTGAACAAGACTCTATATGGGCACGCGCATTTGGCCAAGCTGTTGTGAAACTGAAGAATGAGTTATCATTAGACACACTGGGCACGTTATATGAACATGTAGTCCCGATGTCCTTGTCAAAATCAAAATTTATTGTCACCATGCAACATATTCCACAGCAATTCAAGGATGACATTGCCCCGGATTTGATCAAATCCGGAACACTAAAATGGAAAAATTTTGACGAGACAAATTCAATCTATGCAAAAGAAGGACAATCCGTCTGGATAAATTACATTGAAAAGTGGTGTTCACGACAATCGAAACTATCACCCGGTTTATACCTCGGAGTACTGTACACCGAAAGCACACTCCAAGGAATTCGAGTATTGGTCCCTCAAGACCGTAAACAATTCATCCCACTGGAAAAAATTCGTGACGATGCAAATATCACGCCGGAAGAAGCGTCGTGGGTGAAATCGCTGACTTGTCTAAGTCCCGATTGTTTTATGGATTTGGTGGAGGCTGCGGCTGATGATCATAATGACCACCACCCGTCGTCTTCTCACGTATCGTCGCCATCGACTATTTTTGGCAGATTCCAGACGTCGTTCATGGATTCGTATCATAAGTTGCAGCTGGACACGAATCTTACGTGGGACTCGCACGATATTTATGGCGAGCAGACGGTCGATATTTATTTGGATTTGCAGAATAATCAAATGTTTACGATGATGGGTGAACTTGATGATCATATCGAGGGACAAACTGTGAGTGCGTCGGCTTTTAATGCTGAAAGTCCTCTTACGTCATCATCATTAATGAATACAAATAACAACAACAACATCAACATCAACAACAACAACAATAATAATAATAATAGTGACGTTCCCCAGTTACATTCTTCACCATCATTGAGAAATGAAAAATTATCAAGATTATCAAGAAGAAAATCATCGTTTTTCACGCCTACAAGTGAAAAAAGAAAAACAGCACCGGCTATTTTGGCACATGCAAAAATTCCGTCGTTTTCTGATGCTCCTCCGTTACCCGATGTACATTTTATTTCTCTTGCTAATAATGAACAACAGCCACCAATAGTTCAAAAAGAAGATATAATTAAAAATGAAGAATCAGCTTCATCACAAGATCAAATGGAGCAAGAACAAAATAATGAAGATAATAGTGATAATGATGAAGCAATTGCTGCTAACGTAATTTCAATAACTCCTGCTGCAGTCACACAAGAAAACATTAAAGCTATCAACGAATCATCTGGCCAAGACAGCAGTACAACCTCGAATTCAAACGAAGATGAAGTTGTAACTGCGTTAGAAGAAGGATCAACCGGGGAAATGGAAGTTGAAGCACCAGAACCTCGACCTAAAGAGGAAGAAGACGAAATCAATTCAGTAATAAAATCTTCCGATTCAACAGGCGGCGCTACATCTGTAGCCGGTGAAACAACCTCTACAGCAGTAGCAAGCACAGTCAACGGATCATTCAACACTGCAGCAAACTCGATGAAACCATTCATCCGCGTAATCCTCATAGTCAAACCGATGCGACAACCCCACCAAACCCGCGAACCATACCGTTCCGGTCTCTGTATTCTTTACCCATTTCACTTATTCGACGCGCTCCAACACGCCACATTTAATGCATGCCTATACGCTTCTTCCCGCCGCGCAATGCAAATCCTTCAAGCCTCAAAAGTCTATTTCACACAAGACCTCGTGCGGTATTTACAGCGTCTAGATAATTTCTGCGAAGTGACTGAACAGAACGTCGAGGACTACTTTTTTGACTCGGAAGATTTCCAGAATGCCCCGGAGGAGGTGAAGAAGATACAACAAGCGTTGGAGATTATCAGGGATGAGATTAATGGGTTGAAGGCGCAGTGGAATGCTGTGTCATGGTCGATGACGGTTATTGAGTGGGATCGGCAACGGACTATGCAGTCGTATAGTTTTGGCGCGAGACCTAGTGTGCATTCGTCGACGAGTGGTGGTAGTAATGGAAAATTTAGTGTTGGTGGAAATGGTAACGGAAATCGTGCTGCATCGGTTTATAATATGAAAGCTGACGAGTCAAATGATTCGGATAGTACGAGTATGTCGACAATAAGACCTTCTGATACAGCTGCGCAAATTGAATTTTTACGTGATATGATGTTACACGCTCCAGATCGTGCATGGCAACACATACGCACGATCGGAGCACCAATACCAATAGTCAATGCCGACGGGACAAGTTCACGTCCAAACAATCTTGGCAGATCATTGTCCTCTTCTTCATCAGGAAACACATCAACAAGACCTCGCCCTCCAATAGGCCCATTACTAACACAATTCTTTGCCACGTCCTCCGCCATAAATTCTCTTTCATCCAACTCAACGACACCAATAGTTAATCGCTCATCTCCTTCATCATCTATTGACGGCTCCTCTGAATTCCCGCCAATACAAAGACGCCAACGATCGTCATCTGTGTCATCTGTGTCATCTGTTACGTCTACAAGATCAGCTAATATGCCTATACGAAAGAAGTCGGCGGGGCATCGGTTGATGCGTACCCTTGGATTTGGAAACAGTAGTCAGGGATCAAATGAACAACCACCGCCCGAGATTCCTGTTCCACAGATTTATAGTAGTAGTAGTGGTGGTATTAGTAATGTTAATATTAAAGACAAGAAATCTGCGAAACGCAGTAACAACAAAAAAGAAACAAAGAAAAATATTACTGAAGATCATTATATTATCCTTGATGATGGAAACGATAATATTAGTATTGATGAAAAGACATTACTACAACAGGAGCTACCAGTCAATCAAGAAAATAATGTCCCGATTAAACTATTGAATAATGCACTTGAATCATCCATTGTTACTCCTCCACCGTTGACTCCACTTACTCCTACTTTTATACTTAATGCTAATGGGGAACCAGTTGCTGAAGAAACTAAGTCTAAAAACAATAATATTAATGATGCTATTACATCATTATCGTCATCCGAAAATAATAGTGCCAGCAATAATAATTTGATGGTAGCATCTCTTAATAATCAAGAACAACAATCGATTCCTATTACATTAGCAACAGCTCAACACGCACGCATTTCAATGATCTCTAACTCTGATTCGTTGTCGTCCGATGGAAGTAATCGAATGTCCACTGTTTCAAACGACACCGTGATCACTACCGATACTTCAGTCTCAACTACTTCGTCTGATGACCAAGATGTGTCGTTGTCATCTAATCCAAATGTTGAAAATCAACAAGAATCAGAGAGGTCTGACAACAGTAACACTGCGGAAATTTCGTACAGTTTGTCACCTGAACCAACGATTAGTGGTGATAACGATGATGATATTGATGAATTGCAAAAGCAGGAGCAAGATAAAGAACAAGTTGTTTTTGTTGATGCTACTGAATCAGAAACTATGGAAACCAAAAATCATGAGAGTGAAGAGAATGTTATTGTCATTAGTGATGATGAGAGCAAAAAACAAGAAAATAATGTCCAAGATAATGGTAATAATCTAAAGACTGTAGAGATTGTTGTTTCTGAAGCAACTAATGACAATAATACATTAAACAATGTTATTATTATTGAGCCAATCGAGCATTCACAAAATCTTTCATTCACAGATGATACATCAACAACAATAAATGGTTCTAAAGACCAACAACGACCGTCAATCACGATCTTTAGAGAAGGCGACGAAAACTATGAAGCACAAGATTCTTTGGAACCAACCAAAGAAGAAAAACCAAGACTCTTAGTGACCGCAGATCTTTTAGTCGCGGCCGATTTGTCAGAGGATGACGACGATTTATTTGTTGAAGATGAATTTGGTTCTGAGTCTGTAATAACAACAACTACAGATATTGTTGTTCTTGATCAAGAGCATCATGTTATAATTGCAAAAGAAGAAAAATTAATGACTGAGACTTCGTCATTGGAAGATGAAGATAACGTAAAGGAACAACAAGAAGTATTGTCAGAAAATATTATTATCACTGAAGAGTCAATGGAATCAACAAAAACTGACCAAGAAACTGTCAATGAATCTGAGATAACATCCACATCATTAGCTATTTCGGAGTCGACATTATCGTCTGAAAATAATGATGGAATAAAAAATAATGAACAATCTTCCGTCCAAAATCATATTGAAGATGATTACTTATTAACAGAACTAATTGCTGATGAATACGATACCTTGGAGAAACCGTCGTTACAGATAACAAAAGATCTACCGCCTCTTTCAAAAGATCAAAATACTGACGATGACGATGAGAATGAAAAACAATTAACTACTACTAATTCCTCCACAACAACCAGTTCTACAACTTCTACTTTTGAACCTACAATACAATCATCATCATCCGATCCAAACATATTAACGCCCCAAATTTTTGAAGACCCGAAATTACAAACTTTCACGGAGGAATTAGCAGGTGTGACACTCGCCGAGGAATTATTACGTGTAGCACTTGCGGAAGAGTTGTCGCGTGCTAATGCTGCTGCTGTTGCTGCCACTGACAATAATAATAATACTGCTTCTGTGGTGGTTGAAGAGCCAACACCATCTGTTAGTAATAATAAACCTGTTACCATAACACCACCATCATCCATAATAATATCTGGGGAAAAGGTCACCACCAATAATAGATTTTCGGAAATAACTAGCAGTAGCAGCGGTAGATCTTATGTGAATGTGAATGAAGAAGTCAAAAAATTGGCAAGTGTAATTGCTGAAGTTAAGCAATCGGCAACATTGATTGCTGCACAAGTCAAACCGGTGCAACAACAACAGCAGCACCCTCCATTACCACCTCCGACTTCAAAACCGTTGCCTATACAGCAACAAAGGGACCGTGTTAAACCAACTCCGAATTTGATTGCAGGTCAAAATATGAAATTGAGACCATTGACGCTTTTGGAAGAACTGGAAAAAGATTCTTATTTATCATCATCATCACGTAATTCTTCAAATAGCAGCAACAGCAATAATTTACCATCACCACCAATCTCGACAGAAATTTCTCCTGCTTCAACTCCTGAACCTTCCCAAAATAATTCATCATCATTAGATCTTCCTCCACTTCCAGATTCACCGGTTACGGCGGCAATGACCACAGAATCTTCCGCCGGATCTTCTACGCCAACTTCATCAAAGAAAAAGCGCCATTCACCGGGAACCTCGCAATCTTTTCAAGCTCCACTGCTGCCGCCGCAAACTTCAAAATGGCACACACGATCTATTTCTTCAGAATCTCAACAAAAAGGTGGGGGAACATTACGTAGTGCTTCATCAACACAATCATTATCATCTTCATATTCTTCATCTTCGAGTCCAGTTCCACTTTCATTTCCATCCTCGAAAGAAAGACGCCCTTCAAAAATTGTTTTACCTTCACAATTAACTCCTCCTACACTCTCAGTTCCACTATCAAAATCCGCCCCAACTACACCATCATATCGTGTTTCTGCACGTAATCATATTCCTCCACCGTTACCTTTACCACCACTTTCTGCTCGTTTGAGTCCTCCACCGTTGCCATTACCCTCAACTTCACCAAATGGCGGCGGAGAATCTAAAATTCCACTTCCTTCATCATCTAATTCGAATTCACGAAAAAATTCTCAAACCCTAAAATCTCCATTGAATTCACCTCCTGCTACCACAATTCCAGGCCCATTTTCTTCTACGCATACGAGACCAGCTACCCCAGCAAAGATCAATTCGGGTTCAACATCAATGACAAGAAATCCACCACCGCTTCCACTTCCTCCTGCTTCTTCGCGAATAACACCAAGTCCTTATGTTCTCTCGCAGCAGACTCCACGTGTTAACCCTCCACCACTGCCTTTACCTCCTGCATCTGCATCGCCATTCTTTGCAAAATTAAAGAATTACAAGGCAAAACAAGAGGTTCAAGAACAAAGGGAACAAAGGAAGAAATTTTTGCAATTCTTACCTCAAGAAGCTCAAATGCAACAGGAACGAGAACGACTTGAACAGCAATCATCGCAACAACAAGAACAAAAGGAAGAAAAATCTCAAGAGACATCATCATCAACAGAAATAGCACAAGAACAATCAAAATCCGAGTCCAAGGTTACTGAAGAATCAGCTGCTGCTACAAAAGTAGATGAGACAACAAGACCAACAACGCCAAGGACTCCAAGAACTTCATCATTAAAGAATTTTGAACAAATGATGTCCGAATCTATAGCCATAAATAATAACAACAACAACAACAATAATTCGGAACTACAAGGACAAAAAACAATACATAGATTCCCATCATTATCATCATTCAAATCTTATGTTGCTACTTCTGATGCTTCTGGATCAAGTTCTCAAAATCCAGAAATATGTGAAAATGTTCAAGAACAAAAAAGATCACTGTCTCGATACACTCGAGCACGCGCAAAATCGTTGGCTGATGGATTTTCAAAGAGACAAGTTCCCTCACTATCCAATAATAATTCACCACTTCCTGATCATCCTCGATCACTTTTAATGAAAATGACTGATGGTACCAATAGCGGAAATCGCGAGATGCGAAGACGTGGAAGTGCAGCGTGGATAACGAGACCAAGTACTAATGGTGTTGCTGATGCAAATAGTGGAATACCTGTTTTTTTGGCACTTGCAAAGAATAACGGACCATCATCGTTGTTGACAAATAACACTAATAATAACGATAATAATAATAATAATAATAATAATAATAATAATAATAATAATAATAATAATAATAATAATAATAATAATAATAATAGTGTTGCTGAAAATTCCACATAATAATAAAATTCACTTTGTTATTTATATATCATTTTACATAATTATTTGTATTTTTATTTTTGAATTTTTTGTATTTTTTTTTGACTGCATTATTATATACGTAATTCCTAAATAATTTTACATACATTACAATCATACATACATACATAATATCATGTAATCACAATTTTCATATCGATATACAAAAAGAAAATCAACCCAATAAACTATTCGAAACAAAAGTTTCATAAAACTACTAAAGAGCGTTCGTTTCGAGATCCTTCGATATTGTGTAGCAAATCGTTGAAAATTTGAGAATTCTGCTTAGGTAGAACAAAACAGAGAAATAATGCACCTTTTCATTTACACCCTTATATCTGCGAAATTCGCGGAATTTTTGGTTTGGAGTTCTGACGGGTACTAAATCGAAGATTGCAAAGAAAATGACCAAATAATTTGGGAACTTTTAAAAGAAATGTTGCTTTGCTGCCTCTATTTTATTAGAAATTCCAAATCAATTGAAAGTAACTTGAATGTTGCTTCATACCAACTCACCAAAACTAAAAATGGAAACATATGAAACTAATACATTATGAATTATCCTATTCTAAGAGAACAAAGAGGATTGAGCTTTTACAATACAATTTAATCTCTTAAAATAAATTTCTAAGTTAGATTAATATTTTAGTAATCATATTTTAAATTTTTATTATACACAAATGCATCTCACAATAGTTAAAAATGCATAGTGAAAAATAAGAAATCTAATGCGATAGGATCGGGAAAGAATATTTCGAGGAATTTGAATAGGACACAAATCAGTCTAACTGAATGCTGATGACACATGCACCTTGCTGGATATTCAACGTGTTCCCAAACTCACCATGTGTACCGAATTCGAATCAATAATAAATCATATACATTAGAGGTTTTTAATATATTGACAGAAAAGAGAATTACTAATGTATGTAGCGTTACTATATTCTAGCTGGAATTTTTCCGCTTGGCAACCTGCTATCTGAGACACAAAAATGCCATGCCTGTCGAGAACCATATTTTTAGAATAACGCACAAACAACAAAGTTGTTACGTGCATCGTAAAGGATATAACTTACTCTCATACGCGAAGGAATTCGGTCTTGAGGAACATGATCAACCTTAAAAATTATTGCATTGTGAACATGATTAGTAGTAGCCAGTAATTCCATAATGTGCTGTTCTGGTTCAGAATACGTGACCTCGACAACAAAATTTGGCCAAGATTTGTTCTGAAATCAAAAAGTGAAATATGAAACCTACATCTTTAAAGAGTTCAAAACCAATGGAAGAAAAGATATATTCCCATCTCTGTCATTTGGTGGTGCTACTACTGGTTTTTCTGGGCTAAACGATGCGTCAGCTTCTTTTCCGAAATCACCGTCATGAGTTCCTTTAAACATTCAAGATTAGGTTGATACCATAGATGAAGAGTAGTGAATTGACGCTTACGAGCTGGTCATAAATAAAAATCTCACATGATAATCATTTGCAAGAAGACTTTTATTAGCGTTTGTATTTTAACGGAAAGTCTTTTATTATAAGAGGTCAGTTTTAAGATAAGTGCAATTTAAAAGTTTATTCGTTATAAGATTTTAGGAGTTCAGGATCATCACTGACGTTAATATTTGTGTACCAGTTTTATTTAACAAAGAGTATAACATTGGAGGTGTTTCGTCATGAAGATTTAATTGTTCTTGGAAAATACTCAATCTTCATTCTCGTTAGTATTAACTTCATAAAATTGAATATGATATAATTAATTAATAAAAAATAGGAATTTTACCATTATAATAATATGAAATATCAATATGATCTGTATTTAAATGGAAGGTACCAGTATCATTTGGAATTGAAATTAAATTTGTGGTAAAGGTTTGACTGGTGTAAACTATATTTGGGTTCTTTGCTTATATTTGCAGAAATGTTTTTTTTGTAATTCAAGTTCTTTCGATAATTTAAGTTATCCTTTAATTCTTCATGCATTTTATATTCTAAAGAACATTCAGTTTATATGAGCTCAGAAGTGTTAGGGGAAAATCCATACACTAAAGCTGCAGATATTTATTTTTCGATGCTCATGTACAATTTGGCAAGCGAAATCATGATAGAAACCTCATATTAAACATCTATAAAGGATTATGACTTACAATACCATGCACTCTGCAAGTTTCTCGATTAGATTTTTTAATTAACTGGACCTCTTTGTGAATCAAAGACAATATCCCTTAAATATTTTAATTTGTAGATCGCCATCACTACGTATCTTGTAGCTGAATCATAATAATTTACTTTATCGCTCATAGTGTAGTGCACTCTTTGAAAACTTTAATTGTATTAGAAAACAAAAAAAGCCTCATGCTTACACTTTAAAAAGTGGTCATTTTACCACGTGTTCCTCAATTCGTTGAAATTTATTTTCTTCATGATCCCACAGTTATCTAATGATCTGTCTCTCAGAAGGTATCCATTCAAAAGATGAATATCTATTAATTTCCGCGCAGACTTTTATTAAACTGTCAATATCTTTACTTATGTAGCTTCATACATTCGTTTGTGATATAGGAAATGTCCATAGCAGTACTCATTTTTTTGACAATCGTAACATTTACTACAATCATGAGTATTGTGATCTGAACATGTATTGAGTTTAATAAAATGCGACTACACAAACCAATGTGAAAAATGCAGGAAATACATGCTTAAATCTAATTTGAAGCACTAATAAAAAATGTCGAGGAGGCAGTTTTACATATACAGTAATCTTGAGGATTTGGTAGATATAAATAATTCAAATTTTATCATCTTAGCCGAGTTTGTTACTTTTCGTATCGATTTATAGAATCATAATCATATACTCGTGCATAAAGGAAAGATTAAACTTTCGGATTTAGGATATTCGAAACTTTCTAATGCTAACACTCATCCACGGAACGGGCTGGCCATGACATTATAAACTATGTTGATCCAGCTTTTCTAAAAGATCTGGATAATTTCGACGAGACGAAAAATCTGATATTTTCAGCGTTGGGATTCTGTAATGAATGGTTTCGCCCTCCACCCAATAAATATGGATATAAAATGTTCTTGAGAAAGAATTAACAATATTTGGAACGCCCCTGAATGTGTCGAACTCAATCAAAATTTTGGGACAATACACCAGAAAATCGTCTAAGTGCAGATAAAGTGAATCAAGTTCTGAAAGAAATGTATGGTCGCCACCAGAATCTCTTGAAGTTTCATCATCACCAATCGGAAAGTTCGAATCCGATAATTTATTAAGTTTGCTATATAACGATAAAGGAAATTTCTGATAAAAGTCATTGGAAATAGAACGTTTATAGAGCAGAAGTGAAAAGCAATTTGACAATAGCTTTAAAACAAATAAGGAATTTATCAAAGAGGTATTTAAAAGAATAAACTACGTGATAACCAAAGACTTACAAACTTCACAGTTTGTATCAAATATTTATTAGTTAAAGATGCTTATTAAACTTAATCATAACAAAAATATAATTCGCTTTTGCGGAATCACTAAAGGTAAGTGTATACATACGTAGTTATAGCTTTATAATCGAATGTATAACAGGTAGAATACGATACACAAAAATTACTTGAAAGATAAATAATTCATAAAAAAGTATTTGAAGTTGTTTATTTTGGTTTTGTTTAAGGGAGGCAGATGGGATTTGTTGGTTTTTAAGGAGAGATAGATATTGATTGATAGGATTATAACGATAGGGCTCTAAGATTTCAGTAAAGTGATTTTTTCATAACTTAATTGTTATTCGTCTCAAATTCGATATATAGTCCCCGACGAAAGTAATGGCGACCAGGTTTTATATTTCATTTAATTGAAAAAAATTTATGTTGAAAGTGCCTCTGAGTAGGGTATTATGCCCCTAAAATATCAAGTTCGAATATAAAATTCGCATTAATTCGATAAATATTATTCTCCAAAATGTTCGTCTTAATTGAGGCGAATATAATAAGACCAAAATTACAAAAATCTGATCAGATTATCGAGAAAATAATTTAAAACCTGCTCCTATTAGATTTTCTCAAATTCATATATTATTAATTTTTTAAATTATCTTGTTAGAAATCTGGTACTATTATTTATATATTTTGCCTCTATAAAAAATGTTAGTATTGTAGTAAAATTATAGATCAATCTCACCGTCTAGCGGAATATTCGAAAAGGTTTTAAGTTTCTTACTATTTGAATTTACAAAATAGGTTCATTGCGATTAATCAAGACTTTTAACGGGGTGGGCTCATCAATTTTAGCCTTATCAGTATTGGTCGTAGATGTCTCGATCCCTTCGTCAGCAGGTTCTACAATCTGATATTTAATGCTCAGCTCTATATTCCACTGCTTTGTTTGGCACAGACGTTAATGCGCTACGACGACATTATACATAGTCTCCAACCGTATATGCATTCGGATAGCCATTCATAAAAGCTTTTCATCGCCGCCACACGTTTACTATTAATTTCACTTGGATTCGGCCAAAAGTTCTGAAAATTTTCCAATACGTCCTTACGATTATCGAAATACCTGGTCCGCTTGGTCCCTCAGTCTCCTTGAATGACCTCCAAGTTTAATAATTTCCATTGTTCTAGAGATCAAACCAAAAAGTTAATAAAATATTCATACTGAAAGTAAATAATTTTTACTAACCATAGACATCTCTAATGTGTACAGCTCCTTTTAGTCTGAGATAAATAATCTTGAGGAGGTAATATGAATAAAAACTCATTATTGCAGAAAAAAATTTCAAGCACAACTCACCATATGGACTTTAGTCACAGTTAGATCCTTATATACAGTGCTCGACAAAAGTATCTTTACACTGATAATTTTTGATAGATCATCTGTAGGTTTCTGAAATTTTATATGCATATAGTACATCACAAACACTGATTATTGATATCTTTTTATTGATTGATAGAGATTCTATATCAGGTATTGTATTGTTACAATTATGTTATAAAATTCGTTAATTCCATAATTCGTAATATTTCATGAAATTATGAAAATTATATAAAGAATTTAGAACATTTCACAATTTCTTTATATATTATTAATTATAACATTCATATATTTTTATTTTTCTATTTCGTATTCCTATACTTTTTATACTTTCTCTATCTTGTACTCCTATATTTTTATACTTTTTATACTCTTTCTACTTTGTGTTCTTATACTTTTTTTACTTTTATACTTTTTATACTTTCATATATTTATACTTTTATACTTTTATACTTATTTATTCCGAGTAGATATAATTTAGCCAATTAAAATTCCTTGAGATTTATATTTTTCTCCTTTATTTCTCTACTGTTACAGCGATTCTGGATAGTGAGTTTCACTGAGAATCACTATAAGCATATGATGTTGGGAGAGAGGTGATTAAACTTAAGTAAAGAGAATGAATTATAAATATTAGCAAAGGTTTCTAAGACCTGTGCCAATATCTACGGA